GAGAGGCTCGGAGGAGAGCTGTGGTTGCAGGAACATTTCTGGTGCGACCTGAGCGGTCACAAACGCCTTGGCACCAACGTGGGGATCTTCGTGCTGCTTTGACTATGCGACCGAACGCAACTTCCCGTCCCCGAACAAACTCACCACCACCACAACAACTGCCGCCCTGCCTGCCTCCTCTCCGCTTGCACCTTCCTTCCGCTGCACCCTGGTAATAAGTCAGTTGATGCGCGCAATATAATCCACGCCCCGCCGCCTTGCTCCGAGCAGTATCCGCATCCGTCCCCCCACTACCACGCCCAATTCCCTCACCATGGCTGCCAACGGACAGCAGGTCTTCGACCCTGTGCTGGCGGCGCACAACACCATGTCGTCGCAGGCGGATCGCGCGCAGAAAGAGCAGGCACATCAGTTTCTGGAGCAGTTCCAGAAGTCGGTACGTAGCATGGGCACGCGTTCAGGAGCATGAGGGGCTGATATGTGACAGGAAGAGGCATGGACAACCACACTGGCTATGCTAGAGGCAAACTCAGCAGATGCCGCTGCCAAGCTTTTTGCTGCTACCACACTTAAGGGAAAGGTGAGTCGTCACTACTCCGTGCTTGGGCTATTCTAACATGTCAGATCGTATACGACCTCCACCAAGTGCCTCGCGCACAGCTGCCAGAGCTCCGAGCATCCATCATGCGGAATCTGGCGACATTCCACGCCGGACCCAAGCCCATACGTCTGCAGCTATGCGTGTGCCTGGCGAATCTGGCCATACAGATGACCGAGTGGAAGGATGTCCTCAAAGACGTTGTCAACGCCCTCGGCTCAGATCCAGCAACGCTCCCTTGCGTCTTGGACTTCCTCCGCGTTCTCCCCGAAGAAGTCACGCATGGACGCAAGATCGCTCTCACAGTACGTCCGAACGAGCCGCGCCCCGTCATCAGCCCACGGCAACTATTCCCCGCGGCGTCGACATATGATAGTAGAGTTGTAGTCTAATATGTGGTGGTCAGGAACACGAGTTGACTATGAGGACGGCCGAGTTGATCGACGACAACGCCCAACAAGCCCTGGAGCTTCTCATACGATATGGCACATCTTCCCGTACGTCTACAGCCTTTCTTCCAATCCACTTCCACTGACTTTGAATAGCCCCTGCCGCGCAAAACCCACAGTTACTAAACTGCATTACTTCCTGGATACGCGAGATACCACTGGATGCCATCATAAACTCTCCCCTTCTCAAGATCATCGTCGAGGATCTGTCCCTGGATGATCCATTCGAGGCCGCTGTTGAGTGTTTGAGCGCCCTGATCGCCGAGACCAGAGATGTCGACGAGACCCTCCAGTCGATAATGGTCCTCTACCCCCAGGTCATCAACCTCCAAACCAAGCTCGCCGAGGCAGCTCAAGAGGAGGATACAGAAAAGTTCAAGGGCATCGCCAGGATATTCGCCGAAGCTGGAGAATCATGGGTCATTCTTATCGCTCGCCTGCCGACCGACTTCCGCGCCCTGGTACAAGCCATACTTGCGACAGCTGCATTGGACAAAGAGAGGGATGCCATATCTCACACGTTCAAGTTCTGGTATGATCTTAAGCAGTATCTCACCATCGACAAATATGCCGAAGCGCGCAACCAGTGCATGGATATCTACTCTAAGTTGGTAGACATCATGATTGGTCACCTGGAGTTCCCCAAGCCGGAGTCTGGCGACGAGAAGGATCTGTTCGAGGGCGATCGCGACCAGGAAGAAAAGTTCCGCGAGTTCCGTCATCAGATGGGCGATGTGCTGAAGGATTGCTGCGAGGTTATGGGCGTCGTCGAGTGTCTTCAAAAGCCCTACGACCTCATGCAACAATGGGTACAAACATATGGCGCTCAAGCCAGTGCAAACAGCGTGCCCGAGTGGCAGAAGCTGGAAGCGCCTCTGTTCGCTGTTAGGGCTATGGGTCGCATGGTACCTCCGGACGAGAACATAATGCTACCTCGCCTGATCCCCCTCATCGCAGGCATACCCGACCACCACAAGCTACGCTTCCAGGCTGTCATGGCTCTGGGAAGATACACCGAGTGGACCGCACAGCACCCCGATACGCTTCAGTTACAACTGGATTACATCATGGCAGCCTTCGATCATTCCGCCAAGGACGTAATCCGAGCCGCTGCGCTATCATTCAAATTCTTCTGCAACGACTGCGCCAGCCTGCTGGTCAACTTCGTCGGCCCGCTTCAACAATTCTATGCGAAGAACCTCAACAAGTTGCCGATTAGCAGTCAGGAAGAGATTACAGAAGGTGTTGCGTCGGTAGTCGCTAGGGTACCCAACGACCAGCTTCTGGCAACACTCAAGCTCTACCTCGACCCAGTCATGGCTCACCTAATCGAAGTTGCGCGACAAGCCAAGGATGAGGCGGACCAAAAGCTCATCGCCGACAAGATCAATCTGTTGACCATTTTCTTCGAGATGGTCAGGCCAGAGATTCCAGCTGGTCAAGAACATCCCGCTGTCAAGTACTGCCAAGAGATATTCCCTACTCTTGCTAACATGATCACGCACTTCAACGCAAGCATACCCATCCTCGAACGCGTCTGTCGATGCTGGCGATACATGGTGCTCTCCTACCGTACAGCCATGCGTCCGCTCCTACCAGATCTCGCGACTAAGCTGATTGAGGGCTTCGACAAGTCAAGGCAGGGTTGCTTCCTGTGGGCGACAGCGTCGATAGTACGAGAGTTTTCGCAGGGTGTAGACGATGTCGACCCAAGCCTAGCAAACGACGTCTACCAGTTCTACGAGCAGCAAGCGAAGACCTTCCTACGGATACTGAGCGACCTGCCCCCCGAGGAGCTTCCTGACCTCATCGAGGACTACTTCCGCCTTGCTGCCGACATGGCACTCTACTTTCCCTCAGAATCGATCATGTCGCCACTCATGGACACTGTTCTCCTTGCAGCCTGCAGTTCCCTGACACTGCTCAAGGAGGATCCCATCATCGCAGTGCTGCACTTCCTACGCGACTTGCTTGGATACGGTCGCAACTCATCGCCCTCATCTAGCTTCGACAACACGCGTCACGAAGTGCCCGAGCAACTGCGGAACCGCGTCAAGCAACTTGTTATGGGTGCTGGCGTTCAACTAGTCCAGCGTATCATGACTGGCATGATGTACAGCTTCCCTGAAGGCTGCTTCGCGGACTCTTCCGGCGTGCTCCTCGACCTGTTCGAGCTTATGCCTGAGCAGGTCGCTCAGTGGGTAGCTAGTACCGTTGGCATGTTACCTCAAGGCAGCATCACACCTCAAGAGAGCGAGCGATTCCTGAATAACATTCGACAACGTATCCAAACTGGCGATGTCAGGATGATAAGGACTATCCTACAAGACTTCACCACTAGCTACCGCCGCCGGAACGTTGCACCCCGTGAAGGCCTCGGTAGACTGGAAGCTTCGCGGTTCAGGTTCTCCGGTTAGATGCTGGATGCCGAAGCACGACTTCTGTTCCAGAACGTGGACGCGCGGAAGCCCACAGAGCCACTCACACGTTCTGCGCTTCTTCTCCACACGGTTCAGTCTAACGCCTCCCGGTTTCAGTAAGATAGTGGTGGTGTGTTTGGGTGCGTGGTGTAGTGTGTATCGAATAGCATAATTGTACTTGAAGCGTTAGTGTGTGGGCATTTGCATGGAAGATCGGGACACGAAAGGACAGGATACCATCGGTGGGACAGAGTGGGGGTTATTGTTCACGTCTGCTTAGATACCGTTTACTTCTATACTTCACATTGTTTCGTAACCTCCTGTTGGCTACTCTTGGCCATATGACGTGATTGCAGTAAATTGACGTTCGCTCCTGCACTTCGAGTGACGTCGGGCAGCGCTCTTTCTTGGCTAACAATGAATGTGCAAGACGTCGATCGAATGGCAGCGACGACCTGTTGTGGCCCCAACAAACAACAACTCCGTCATACCAGCTTCCTCGTCACTCACAATTTGGTCTATTGCTGAGCGCTTACCAATACCTAGGCACAGCCTTTCGGCTATCGAACAGCATCCTCTCTGAGCACCTATCACCTCAGTGTCCATCTCATCCTTTGGCCCACCGCCAGCAACACTACCTTTGAACACCTGTTACCATCCGGCACGCGCTAGTCCTACATTATCCGCTTTTCTCATATACAGTTACAGATCTGCATCCCCATCTGAAGTTCGTCGGCACCGAAGGTGACCACTCCACGTTAGGTGCGCGATCAACGCCCAAGTTTCGTAGTGAAGGTCGTGAGATCAGAGTTGACAGCAGACTTCAGCAGGGCCGATTCGCGAACGTAACAACGTTCCCATTTACCTGCGGCTCCTGCGCACCTCCAGCCTGGTATTGGCAAGAACAATATCGGCAGAGCCTAAAGCTCGCAACCATACAAGAAACGACCATCCTGGATCCCCCATACGGGCGACCCGGCCTAGCGAGAGCTAACTCCACAGGATCCGGCACTAGACCCATCTCGATCAGATCAAGCACGTCGAGCGCATCACAAACCTCTACTCAAACTTCAAGCCGATCAAGGAGACACTCGCAGCCAGCTCTTCCCCCAACCCTTGCGGAGAGAATTGCACTAGGACCTCAGCTTAACCCATATCATAGCAAGAACCCTCATCGTCTAGACCGATATACCAGCGTTCGGGACGTCTATCTTGCTAGACAGGAGCAGCGCACGAAAGAAGCCGCACACCAGGAAGAGAGACTCCATCAACTTCGGCTCGAAAAGCGCAGGGGTACCCGCCAATTCGACGGTTCAAGATCAGCTGGAACTTCACCAGCCCTGAGTCGAACAAACTCGAATTCAGATCTCACTCGAACATCTTCCCTCAAGAACCTTGCCAGAGAACTGACGACATTCGACAAGTTCGGACCTATCAGGCGCGCAGACACGGGTGACTCTACCGCATCTTCATCGGGACAGTCGAACAAATCCAAGAAGTCGAATCTCTCTCGGGTATTGACGGCTGACCGCTATGATCGAGACGCTCAAAGAAATGAAGCACGGCAAGAGCGGCAGTTACGAGAGCCTGGCGCTGGAACGAACGGCGAGTCAGATTCTCCATCGCATGGAGGACAAAGACTCGGAGGACTCTCTGGAAAGCACGCGGACAAGAGTACTCGGTCTGTACCTTTCGCAGTTCCTTGCGCGTGAAACAGATTGACTGACCTGTTACAGCGAACGCGCGCGCGATATATGGACCGAATCGTTGTCTAGACGTGATAAGTTTCGCTCCGACTTCCTCAAGAAAAATTGGAGCTTGCATCGTCGAGCACAATCCTTCGAGTAGATCCTACGTACACTGCTGCTCTGCGAAAGAGGACTCGCGTCTCGGTGCCATGGAACACCTGCTCGTCATCACCGAAGATCTGCTCCAGCGACTTATGGACGCCGAGGGCATCACGAGTAGTGGATGGTTGCCCGCCACGCCACAGTCACATCATGCAGCGATGTACGGGAGTGCGCCGGGCAGTGTAGCGGGTGGAGGTAGCGTGGCAAGCAGTGTACAGCCAAGTCGAAGGGGCAGTGCTCAACCTCAGGAGTAAGTTCACCCTTCCTACAATGGCTGGCCTGGGTATACTCACAAAACATAGCCTCCTCATCGACTACGCACAAGGCTCACCACAGTTGATGCAACAGTCACCCCAATTCTCACCGCCCGCCCAGTCGATGCCCTCTCAAACCCCCTTCGTCAACGACTTCAACACGCCCTGGTCACCTCACCACATCCAAAAGCCCAAGCTCCCTAGAGGCAGCAGTGACACGGTCTTTCACACCACGGCCAACACTCCCAAGCCAGTCGTCCAAACGATCCCTAGGACTAACAGCGATATTATTCAGCAGCCTAAGCCGGTGCCAATCGGCCAGTTTCAGGGTCCTGGAAGAGGCAGGGTGCAATGGAATCTGGGCTCTGAAGGATAGAAGAGTTGGGTCTTGAGTCATCGGCTGGTCGGGGTCAGAGAGATGATGTGATGGATGCTGCATTTCTTTGAACTGGGGGAGGATGGTTGGTCTTGTTGGCTAGGTTTATTATTATTGCGCGAATGCTAGTGTTTTGAACTCCGCGTAATAGTGCACTGATGATGGGTGATGTGTGGATCCGAGTTCAAAGCGAGCACTCTATCATTGATATTCATGAGAAGCAGCTTCGTTTGCATTCACAAACGATAGCTATCGTCCAGCACGGAGAGACCCATATCTACAGATATCATAGCCCGTGAAACCACCCCCGAACGCCAAATTGCAATGATCATATCGCCATCACAAATGTCCTTCCCGTGCAATTAAGCCTTCTTAGCGAACTCCACGCGGAGAATAAGATGTCCGAAACCGACTGATCACAAAAGTTAGCAACAACACCCAAAACCACAGGCTTATCCAAAAACTTACATCCATCCATCTTCTCACACGCCTTCGCGGCATCCGACCGATCCGCATAACTAACAAACGCAAAGCCCTTGGCGCGACCCGTCTCCCTGTCCTTGGCAAGGAAAACACGAGTAACATGTCCGTACTTGGAGAACATGTCGCGCAGATCTTGCTCTTCGGCGAACTCAGACACGTTGGTAACACGCAGAGTAGCGCTATCGTCGCGGTCGAATTTGCCGCCCATCTTCTCGCCTGCACCAGCACGGCCACGCAGATGAGGAGGAACGTAGCCGCCAGAGCCGGTGCCCAGACTACCTCCTGCACCGCCGGGCGCATCGTCTGGCATTTCCGCGGGGGCGACATCGCCTTCGGGGGCCATGGTGTCCTTGAAGGGACATTTTGTGGTGAAATGGTCTCCCTGGCAGATACGGCACTTGATCTTTGCGTTCTTGAGCTCCGCCTTCTTCTTCGCTTCGTCGCCCTTATCTTCGTTGCTGGCTTTCCAGTTGGAGACGGGGCGGAAGGCGATGTTTTCGGCGACGGAGACGGTGTCTGTTTGTGGGCCGGCGGGCTTGCCCTTTTCTTGTCCGAATTTCGCCCATTGCTTTCGTTCGGCGACGCGGGGGTTTACGATTTGCTTTACGACGGTCTTCTTGATGCGCCGTGTTGTCTTGTATTTCTTGCCGTCTTCGCCGATGCGGTAGGAGATTACGGTTTCGGTTCCGTCTTTGTTCTTGATGACTTGTTGGGGTGGGAGGGAGGTGAGGGAGGACTCCTCGTCTTCTTCTTCTGCCCAGTCGGTGCGGCTATAGCAGTACTGTCAGCGTGATGCTCTAGAACCCGGAGAGATGTATGCAGAAGCTCGTGGCTTGATGTGCGGCTTGGAGCGATGTAGGGGCTGCATGGGAAGACCGTAGGTGTAGAAAGGCCGAAAAAGGTGCGCATAAACTCACCCTGCTGTCTTGGACATATTTGCGGTTGTGGTTGTGTTGTTGGGGGTGTCGGGTTGGGCAGGTAGTCGGGGTTCCTTATGATACAGAAAGTGAGAAGTGGCGGCGGCCGGTGGGGCAATTCAATGTGTGCGGTGCGCCGCCAAGATTTCGCGCTAATAGGTGTTGCGACTCATCACTCCCTTTCACCAACTTTCATCCAAACATGGTACGCTCGAAAAGCTCCGTTGAATCCTCGAACAGACAGTCACTTTCTTGTCGATTACACGGAGGGCTGTGCCTCTTGTAGGCTGGTGAGTCATTGTCAAGTGATTTGCGCAGCTTCATGTCTACCTAGGTATGGCGACATCAGGAGTCAGTCATGAACTGAGTCACTGTTCATGCTTAGGCATAGTATGCTAGAATCAATCACAGTCAGTGATGTTACTTTAGTAGCTCTAGTTTCCAGTTCCCGACACGCTCGTGAGTCACAGCAGTAGCTTGGGCAAGTTGCATTAGTAGAACCATACTCAAGCAAAGAGCATGTGAATTCGATGTCTTTGTGGCTTTAACCCCATCGCATACAGCGTTCTACTCAGGTAGCTATAGGTTTGATCTACTTGGCTAGAGGTAATAGTAGGATGTCTCTACTAACTGTTGTAAGCATGCGTAACTTTGCATTCATACTATTAAGCGGTAACAATACTAGGGCGAGATGACTGGGGAAGTGTGTGCGAATGAGAGTGCGCTGGGCGATTGTTACACCATCCTGATTGCTGTCCAGCGTATAGCAAGCCTCGACGGCCCAGCGCTACCTCTATAGAAGTCTGGAACGCTGAACGCATCACCAACTACTTAAGTATCATGTCCACTAAACACAACATCATGAACGATGCTGAACATGCTGAAACCTTTGCTTTTGAGCGTCTACCCCTTAAGCTACAGAGATACGTCCTCAACTACGTACTTCCTCAAACCAGAGCATAAAGTTCAGATGGGGCCCATATCCCGAAGAACCCAACTATAAACCGAAATGGATCATCGAGACGCGGCCAATAGACGCCGTACTTCCTTGGGAAAATCATCATGAAAGGGAAACAAACGGTAACCAGCACATCAGCGACAGGCTGTATGACTATGCCGCTTTGATACGCGTGAAGACCCTGGCACAGGAGGCGAAAGGTAAGCTACGAATCCCTGGATTGAGGCCCCGGAGTCAAAATACGAACTCTCCTTCCTTCCTCCTCCAATCCATCCCACAAAGTCCAATCGTCTTTCCACTAACAACAACACCCACAAGCCCTCTTCCTCCACACCAGCGAAATCACCCTCGTCATCACCTCTTCACAATACACCTCCGAACAGCACTTCGGTCCTTTCAAACTGCATCCCCGCCGCCTCAACGTACACACAATGCGTGATATAGAAAACCTCCGCATCATCCTGAACATCCGTTCGGGGGATAGCACGGGCGCGCCATGTAATCGGCTCCGAGCGCGCTTACAGCAGATCGTTACGCAGCTTACTCTTTACGCCGAGGACGAGGATCAAAAGTCTCTGTTGAAGTAACTTGAGATCAGTGTTGCGGTTGATGGGCTTGATCTTGTGGATGTCAAGGAAGTTGGGTTGGAAGATGTGGATGATGGACGTCTTGGGTATTTGGGTGCGATGGACATAGCTGGTTTCGTGAACCTCGATACCCGACTGAAGCCTTATGTAACGCATTTTATGTTCGCACTTGAACCGCTCGTGGGGCTTTTTCCCAGTGTGGTTGTTGAGAGTGTGAGGGTGAGGGGTGTACCGGGCTGGTTTGCTAGGTGTCTTGAACTTTGTGTAAGGGGGCAGGGTGGCGAGCTAGTGGAGTTAGACTGGGGATTTGATGTTGTAATGAGGCAAGTTGGTGTGGGTGTTGCGAGGAAACGCCGGGTTAGTGTTACGAGGAAGATGTGGATGCAGCCGGTTTATGACTGGAGGCGGTATGCTGAAGAGAATGAGATCGAGGTTGATGATTGAGATAAGTAAACTTTAGAAGGTAGGAGATCTGCAAAGCATGCTGATTATGCTTGATTGAACATGTCATTAACTTAATCTCCATTCCATCACTTCATCTCTACATACACATACAAACGTACACAGTACAACAGCCAGGATCGTCCAATAAGAACGTCCGGCCGCTGGTCCCAACCCAATTCCAACACCAAGACCGTTTTCTAAATCCCTCCGTTGAAACAGGGTCTTATCCTCCCGTATGATGAACGCCAGCCTTAATGTACAAGTTGGGCAGGGCCCGCAGAGTGGTGAGGAGGAGGGATGCGCATGCGCTAAGATCGAATTCGTGTAAATGCAGGAGAAACGTCGAACGTAGTAGAAGTTGAGAATAGACCGCTGTACCTACTTCGGTAGGGAAGCGGTAGATTGGTATTTGTTGCTGGGCGCAATCGCTTTTATCTCGGTCGGTTTTAATCGACTTGTTTTAGGTCGGGCTCGAAGAAGACTTTTCGTGTTATCTGGTGGGCTGTTAGCTTTCATCGTGAAAATACCAAGGACCGATTGAACGTACCGCCCATCCTCCCGCTACAGTCGCACAAATACCCGAGCTAATAGCCATCTGCCTCGTCCCTCTTGTGCTCTTGAACAGCGCGCCGCTCAATGCGCCCGCCACCACGCTGTTGCTCATATCGTGCTTGCCGCGGTAGTAACCAATCGTGCTGTTCATACCATTGTACACCATAGCAATCACGCCCGCGCTGTTTCCCAGAAAAGGACCTCGCCGTGTTATCGCATTGAGCACGCCGTTGATGCGCAACCGCGGGGGCATGCTGGGTGGGTTCTTTTGCAGGCCCTCGGCTAGTCCCCACGCTCCTCCTATCGTCAGCGCCGTCAGATACGACACGCCCGTGCCGTAACATAAGTCGTCGGACCAGCCGCGTGAGGGAAGAGCGGATTGTGCGCCGGGCAGGTCCGAGAGGACGCTGTCTTCGAGGTTTAGGTAGTCGAGTGTGTCTTGGTTGAGGCCGGCGAGGGGATGCAGTTGTGAGGGGTCGAGCAGGAATTCTGAGGGGTTTTGGATGGCCGTGTTGGGGTCGAAGGGGGTGGGTTGGAAGCTGTCTTCTTTTACGAAGTCGGCATTTTGGGGCGAGGCGGGCGCGGGTGCGGTCTCCTTGGACTTGCGTCCGGTTATGGAGTCCCAGCTAGCATTGGATTAGCATTGATGTGACTGAGAAGACGCAGGATATTAGAGTTTATACATACATGGTCATGTTGAAGATGTCAGGTTGTGATGGCGGCGTAAAGAAATGTTGCGCCTGATTGTCAACAGCCGCACGAACAAAATCCCCCAGACGCCCGAAAAACCTCTATCAGACCGACGCAGCTAGGAGAAACAGCAGAAAGAGGCAGGTGGCAGATGCGCGGGTATGGGATAGCGTGGGGCGGCGTTCGTGATGCTCACGAAAAGTTCTGGCGAAGCAACTTGGGCAATGACGGTCTCAGTGCACGGCCCACCTTCTCGAAGCCTCCCTGCTTCCGAGCTCGGAATGGAACGAGATCGGAAAGAAAAGTTCAGATAGCCTCACCCACTTTGGGATAACGACATACAACAACAAATCTCACCATGGCGCTCCCCGAATACAAGCAAAACTTCCTTAAAGACTGCGTCTCGGCCGGCGCACTGAAATTCGGCACCTTCACCCTCAAGTCCAAGCGCATATCACCCTACTTCTTCAATGCGGGTCTCTTCCACCGCGCCGACCTCCTCCGCTCCATCTCCTCAGCCTACGCACACACACTGAAGAACCACGGCGACTCGGACTCTTCGTTCCAATGGGACATTCTCTTCGGCCCAGCCTACAAGGGCATTCCCCTCGCAGCAGCATCAGTCGACAAGCTCGCAGATCTGGATATGGCAAAGTACGGACAGAAGAGCTACAGTTTCAACCGCAAGGAAGCGAAAGATCATGGTGAGGGCGGCAACATCGTGGGCGCGAGTCTGAAGGGGAAGAAGATTGTTATTGTGGATGATGTCATTACGGCTGGTACGGCGATTAGAGAGGCTATTGATATTATCAAGAGGGAAGGGGGTGAGCTTGTGGGCATCATCGTCGCTTTTGATAGGCGGGAGAAGATGCCGACAGCGACTGATGACGATGGAAAGCCCGGTCCCAGTGCGATTGGAGAGGTTAGGAAACAGTATGGGATTCCTGTGCTCGCTATCTTGACCCTGGATGATGTTGTGGAGTATCTGAGGAGTTTGGGTGGAGAGGAGGATCTCAAGAGGTTGGATGAGTATAGGGAAAAGTACAAGGCGAGTGATTAGGTGTATCTGGTGGGGCGTTTACGAAGTTATGATTATGGGAGTATGGGAGATGGGAATGGGCGGTTGCTAGAATACCCCGCATGCGTTGCGGTCAATGCTGCAAGCATTTCAAGTCCACATGTTTTTCTTGACTCCGTGAGACTGTGAGGCGATCCTCATAACAATAAACGGCTGTGTCATCGGGGTGAGCAAAGAAAACACGCTGATTATTGTTATACTTCTATGATACAGATACAGAAAGACAAATGCGTTCAACAAAGTGTGGGTATCCTCTATCATCGCTCCTGGCCAAACGAAAAGATGCATAGTCACCTCGATGCATATCTGCATCCAATTCGAGAGATCTTTCGGGCAAGAATCGTCTGAATCCGAACCGTCTGAATCAGGCTGTACTTTGTGACAGCGGCCGGCCATTCTCTAAAGCGAACTTAGTGGTTAGTCTACGCAGTTTTTGTTTCGTACAAGGAGAGAAACTCACTCTCTGAGGATTTTCGTTTGCTGTTTCGCGGTACGCCTCTTTGGGGCCTCGAGTTTGCTGCGAATGCTGTACCTATGTCAGTTTCCGCGGTTTCCTTTACGTAGGTGGTCTTACTCCACGAGGGTCTGGTACGCGGCCTGGACATCGTCCTGCTGTACCGGCGTGGAATTGGCAGAATGAATAGGGGGTGCGCCTTTGGCTTAGACTTCGGTCTGGTCTTTCGGGCCATAGCTGGCAAACAAAGAGATGGTAATCGAAAAGTTGACGTCTCTATGCGTACTGTGCAAACCCGCGGGAGTGTTTGGGTGTAGAGGTGTGAACGTCACAAAGTTGGCGAGGGGATGCACGACGCGTGTCTAGCGCGTCTCAAAACGATTAAACACGCGTGTCCCTTGCTTCCCCATGCCAAGCAGCCCACTTGCGGCGAGCGGAGCGCAGCCGGCAGCAACGTGCAGACATTCTTTGCGCACACACCGACACTACTTCGTGCTCTATACAGAGGTCAGCCTAGCAAAGGTGGTAGAGTAACGGCACTCGCGGGCTACAGACCATTTCCAGTCGGCGGCACAGCGCAGATGTAGGGCCGCATGTGCTGGAAACCCCGAGGCAAGGCAGAGAGCTGCAACAGAGATAAGTATAGCGAAGGTGGTACGCAGTGGAGCCATCAAAATGTGCCTGACTGCGGCACAGAAACGCTGTGCTAGGTGTGTATGTCGAACCGATGAGTGTCGGTAACCATGCTTACGAGTACTATTGACTGCCACCGAGAAGCACCAACCTTCGCCATTTGCTCATCACACGTAGAGGCACGGGAGCAGAGTCTGGTTTCGTTCAGTGGAGTAGTTTTGGTAGTCGCGATGCAGTCGAAGCTTGTTTGACTCCCATGCGCACACGAACGCTATCAGAACGCTCATTCAGGACGCCTAATTGATAATGTTCATCTCGCTATACATCTTTCAATGCAATCTGCATTAGGGTGAGAATCTATAAAATTCAGAGGAGTTTTTCAGGCCGCCAAATCGTACCTAGGTAACAAGAAAGGGAGATTCAACGGCATGCCCGGGGATGCTCTCCTTTCTCCCTTGTTCTCTTTCCTGCATTCTACTCATTAATTGAACAACACATATACCACCGCAAATTCGACGTGCATCACCTCCGGGATACACTGCTGTGCCCCTCACCAGAGGCCATCCTAAACTCAATCACTCAGACTATATAGCTCACCGTGTTCTAATAGTCCGCGAAGATGGGGCACGTGGGCAAGTAGCAGGTTGCTGTCGATCCCGGTTGGATGTTTCTATACCTCGGCGATCGATGAGCAGATATGATGAATGAGTTCTAAGCGACCTGCCTTAATTAGTCACTGTCGACATGGTTTGCCCTTCCTCAATAATTTCGATTACGGGGGAGATTATAGGAGTACCTTGACGATCGTAGCCGATTTGACATTGTAACTTCGGGATACAGTGGCTCGGAGATGCTTACTTGATTCGTCCCGGCTCAGACGGTCGGGAAAACCAACTGCTGATAATTACGCCCTGTGGACCATTTCGGTATCGATTGCATAGACCCTCAGAGGTAGTAAGCCGTCCGTCCCCTCCGCATCAACTCCTCATACATACCTTCCAAGGTTCCCTTGTTGTAGCTTTAGCTACATTTAATATCGGGATTTGCTCGTGTATATAGCTCTCCTTAGTCAAAAAGCAGTTACGCTAATTAGCCGCGAGAACCTCGACGCTTATTAGCTGCAGGTTTGTAGACATTACGTAATAACTACACCTTAGCATGCTTAGCAGAACATTAAAACTTTAGCAGCAACAACAACAACAAGCAAAAAGAGACGCGTAGGCAGCACTTGTTTAAACGCGCAGCACTTATTTAAACGCGCGTACTGCTCTCTTATAGTTACCTACCTAACTAATAATCCTAGACAGTGCTGCTTGCAATAGGTAAGAGATCGCGTTACGTAATTAGTACTTTACTGCAGCTGTTATTACTGTATATAGGAGTTTAATCGCCTATATAGACAAGAGGCATGCGCAAGTACCCTAAGTAACTCTAAATGTACTAAAGCTACGACCTTTTTAGAGACGTTTACGAACCAACGGACTATTTTAGATCTTATGCGTGCCACTCTATTTTCGATGTAACGGACCTACATACCTACAAGGATATTGCCTAATTACAGAGCTAGAAACAAGGTCAAAAAGACTCTTATTGCGGGAGCAATAAGCGTTCTGCATCATGGAGTACATTGCCTGACTATGGTACGTCCCGTTCCGCCCCGTTACGCCCAGTGACATCCCGCCTGCGCATGTCCGTAAAGCGGTGCAGAGCCCTGGAGGTAGCATCGAGTAGAACAGCGTCGCAATAGACTTCTAAGGTTGTCAGAGCGTTTGTGATGGGCAGGCCATCGCCGGATATAATTCAGGTACGTGGAAAGCTAGTCGACCTGTTGTGGCAAACAAGGCTGTACTGTGCAGGTGGTAGTTGCACCAAACGAGGTTGCATATGCTTATGACGTCCTGAGGGCAGTACACGTGCGCTTGGGGTACTGGATAAATGGAGGTGCTTCACGGACCCACAGCGGGGGCGGGAATACTAGGAACATGCGGCGCAGCGACAAGCACTGTGACACTGCGTCAAGCTTTCCCAGGTTGGTTGTTGGCACTATACGCGAGCAAGTAATGGGCTGGCATTAAGCGACTCACGACTTAGGCACCGCGCTCCGGTACGATAAAGGCTAAAAAGAAAAGACGGAAATCGAGAATCAGTTCCCCGTCAGGGTCGCAGCTACAGCTTCCCGCTTCTTGTCGTCTACCTCCAGATCCCAGAGCCTTTCGATAGTGAGTTTTGGCATCCGCGATCTCGGAATGTCTGATTCGTGGTCGCCCGGCAGAAGTGATTACCCACGGGGATGGATCCCGCATCACCCGGCCGGCATCCTCGTTTGTACGTATGGTCAGCACTAGTGGCGTGATCACAATCCGTCACTCAAAATGGAACGAATAATTGTAGAGATACTATCAAGGTACTGCATCCTTCCATTGTATACGGGCTGCAAGCCTTTCACCATCCGACTAATGAAAGCTTGACGCCAAACAGCCCCCAAAAAAGGTGTTAGCGAGTAAAAGCGTAAACGCCAACGTTGAACTGGGTCTTACTCAGGCACTGGTAACAGTAGATTGGGAGGTAATGGAGCCGGCGATTGCAATCTTGATCACTCTGGGAATTCTTATGGACAACTAACGATCTTTTGCTTTTGATTGAACGTTACACATGGTCGTTTACTCAGTCTTTGGGGTTTCCAGAGATGTACCACATCAGGTGTGTTTAAATTCCCTCTTTGTCCTCCGCTCAGAGAATACAAAAAAAGCGTTACCTGCCAGAACATCAAGAAGAAACTGCAATTCGTGGCGGCGAATAAGATTGGAAAACGAGTGTGGTATTATAGTAGATTATGAGCA